CTATAAACCCAGACTGTTGAGTCAGACAGATATAGGTTCAAAGTCTGGCTCTGCCATTGACATTCTGTGTCACTTGGTGAGACGAGACACGTCCTTTTTAAACGTCAGTGTCCTCTGAGTGATGGAGTAGGGCTAGTGTAAGGGTTAAATGAGATGGTTTATGCAGAGCACTCAGTGTAATGCCTGGCCTATAGTAAGCATTCTGCAGATATTAGCTGCTGGTATTATTATTAGACAAATTGATAGTAGAAGCATACTCCAAAAGAGCTACAGTTAGCCTCCTTGTTTTAGGTTTGTAAAGATGTAGACCTGGGTAAGTAAAATGGCTTGTTTAGAGGAAATGTTTAAATCAATATGAGACACTGAATTTTTTAGAAAGATCAATTCAGATAGCCATGTTGTTATCTCAAAGATTGATAATTCTAGTTCTCCAGGTCTTTCTGATGAAAGAAACAAAGTTTTCATTCCGACCATTTACATGAGCCTTTTCCCCCCAATGTCCTGTTCAGAATCTTGTGGCCCTGAAAAGCCACTGCTCATCCTTGTTGGAACTCAGCCTTTACCCGAAGCAGGCTGAACATGGGTTTGTCGCTTCCACACAATGTGGTGTGCTCAAAGCATACCAATGAATAGTGAACTGATGACCTGATCAGTGGTGTGTGTCCCTGAGACAGACTGAGTTGGGTTAAAGAGATTTCAAATTGTTTGGTATCTTCCCACTGAGAGGAGGAGTCTCCTCCACTCCTTCTATCTGGGCTGGTCTTCATGACTGTTTGACGACAGAAAGTAGCAGAAGTGACATTCTGGGACTTCCCAGGTTAGGTCATTGGTAGCCTTGCAGTTTTCACTGTAGGCTCTTGGAACCCTTAGCTGCCATGTAAGGAATCCAACCAGGTGGAAAGGCCCCAAGACAACATGGAGAGTTAGAGGGACGTAGCTGACCTCAGCTTTCTACTTGTGCCTACAAAAGTGCCAGACATGTGAGTGAGGCCCTTTTGGACCTCCTAACCTGCCCATGTACTAGCTGAATAATACCCAATGACCCCCATTGATACCACATGCAACAGAAGAATCACCCCACTGATTACTGCCCAAATTGTGATCCATGAAACCACGAGCAATAAATAATATGGTGGTGATTATAAGCCACTAGGTCTTGGATGCTTTGTTACATATCGAAACACACACACTGCTAGATCTTGTGACTCACGCTCAGAGGCTGAACCAACCACCAATTAAAGCTTTTAGTAAGGACTTAATCACTGGAGTTGGAAGACAAAAGACGCTGAGTGGCCCAGGTGAGACAAAGGGAAATATCTTTCTATAGGTCATCTGTCCTAGCTAGACAACGTTGCCAGAAGAAGCTGAAAACTTCCCTTTGTGAACACTGACCATATGCCATGTGGTGCCAATGCACTACTCAGCTAGGTGGATGCCAGGAACATCAATGAACTGTCCTTTAGTGAAATAGGGAAGCCACTGCAGTGTCATCAATTTGGTGATGTAACCAGCATGCTCTACATTGTTAAAGGTAACAGTTTGGCCCAACGACTTCAAATGAATTAAAATGATTAGATGCAAACTAAAGGAGAGATGACTATTTCTGAGAGCTGTAGGTTAATTTTTTGGGTTCTTGGAACAAAAAATGATTATGAATTTGGAGGGGAAGGTACCACAGCAATCTGTTTTCTTGGCTGCGTGCTACGGAGCAATTTTAAAGCATTGAACTGCTTTCCATATTTTCTAATCACTCAAGTCCAGAACTGACTATGGCTTTCAGCATTCTCTCAGATTCACACTGTTGCAGCACTCCATGTCTTTCAGGGAGCGGTTTCACCTTGAAAGCAGGCGCCCAGATTTAGATGGCACATATTGATACAGCAGGAGCAAACACTTTAATTGCAACACAGCCCCACAAGGGCCAGGTGTTTCGGAAAATCACTGATGGCTCAACTCTGAAACAACCCAGATTCACTTTTTCTTATCTCTCATAACATAACCTCCCACACTAAACAGAAAACACAAAAACAGGCCCTACCGGAAACTGAACTCTCTCAAACAAAAAACGGAGTTTAGATTGTTGAGACATGGGGCAAAGGGATGGACTCTCATCTCTCTCTCTCTCTCTCTCTCTCTCTCTCTCTCTCTCTCTCTCTCACACACACACACACACACACACACACACACACACACACACACACTTCTATATGCATAGAACATCTCTGGAAGAAGCCCTAAGAAATTGGTAGTTGTGGTTTCCTCTGGAGAGAATTAGGGGACTGGTAAATATTGGGAGGTTGATGGAGAAGAAAGACTTATTTTTTCACCATAGCCTTTTGAATTAAAAAAAAAATACATACTGTATTATTTTTCAAAATAATGAAACAGAATTCCAAACCTGTATATGGTAGGTACTTCGGGTCTGTTACACACTGTGTTAAATGCTTTATGTATATTCACTTTTTAATACTTACAACAACCTTGTGATGTAGGCGTTATTATATATCCTCCTGATTTTACAGATGAGGAAACTGAGGTATAGAGGTTAAGTACCTTGTTCAAAGTCACATAGCCATTAAATATAGAGCTAGGATCTGGACCCAGAGAGTCTGTCTTCTTAATTACTACAAAATTAAGAAGCTGCCTGCTCATAATTGAGTTGGAGCAGATAAAATAGTTCTTTTCTCACATGGCCTGCCAGAGTGATGGGGTGAAGAAAATGGTGGCTCAAGAGACAATCTTAAACCTGTAGGGCTTTAGAGGGCTTTGAAATTATGTGAATATCATGTCAAAACATGACTTTGGCCACATTGCTTAATATTTTTGAGCCTTAGCAGCTACTATGTACCAGGTACTCTCCTAGACCTTGGGGACAACTAGTGAATAGAACAGTCCTTACTCTTGAGAAACTTTCTGTATCCTGGGGGGGACCAGCAGTAAACAAGTAATCACACAAATTATAATGTGAGCAATAAAGAAAAATTAAAAGGTGACTGAGAGATGAGGATTGAGAGCCCTGATTTGTACTGGATGGTCAGGAAATGTCATTTAGACAGGGTGCTGAAGAATGGGCCAGGGGAAAGCAGGGAAAGTAGAAGAGGCAAGGGAAAGAAAGCATTCTGGGTGGGGGCGGCAGCCTACGCAAAGACCCCGGGGCAGGAAAGAAGTACCTGTTTGAGGTTAGAAAGGCCTCTGTGGCTAAAGCAAAGTGAGTCAAACTGAGTTTGGAGAAAGAGGCAGATCATATAGACCATGGTAAGTATGCCACAATTTTCCTGGGAGCTGTGGGAAGCCACTGCAGGTTATAAGCAGGAGTGACATAATTGGACCGGATTTTTAAGAAGATTGCTTGGGCTGCTGTGTGGAAAATAGACAAAGGAGAAGGCAGTGGAGGAAGTGGAAGACCAGCTATGAAGCTACTGCAGGAATCCACGGAAGTGATGAAGATGGCTTGGAAAACAGTGCTGGCAGAGAGAGCAGTAGATAAATTTAAGATCTGTTGTGGTGGTACAATATTTTATGAAATTAGAATAATCATGTGAGCTATTATGAATCATACATTTATAGGTGTGAAAAGGCTTTGTCAACTGTAAAGTGCTAAACAGAGGTAATGAACTATTACTGTAGATGAAGAAACCAAGTACAGATTAGAGAGACTCCAACTTGCCCAAAGTCACACAACTGCTTGGTGACTGGGAGGAAATTGTGCTGTGTGACACCTTCACTCCCTTCTCTGGGGCGGCGCCCTGGGGGAAGGAAAAGGAGGCAAGTGACCAGATCTAATTCCCTGTCAAGTGGCCCTCCGGGTGAAGGAAGTGATGCTATTTAGAATGTCTCTGACTGCGGGTTAGCCCTAGTAAATGGAAATCAGGGTCTATGAATCAGGGCTCCTTGGAGAACATCATGTCAGTAATACAACTCTCTGGGGTACAAAAGAGGTGATCCCCTGATCCTCCCTCATTATTCTGGGGGAGAGGTGTGTGTCAGTGAGGGGACACAGGGACTAGGGGGGCCACTCTTGAGGTCCCAGCATTTTCTTTACTTTGTCTGAATCTCTTGATCGCCTATACCCTTGACATTATTTAGCAAAGCCTTATATTGGGTAAGAGCTCTGATTTATGTGACATGATTTGACAATCTCGTCGCACATGTTCTTTCAGTGGCAGAGACCTTTTCCCCAGGTTAGTAGCCCCTGGGTCCCATCAGGCCCAACTATAAGGTCCAGGGACAAAGGGAGAATGGACATGGTTATATTTGAACCCTTTGCTAGTGGCCTAACCTTGACATTTATTTGACACATCAGATATTTACCTACTAGAAAAATTAACGTTTTAGGATACTTATGCAAGTTAAGAAACCTGATGTATCTGCCTTCATTGTAATGAGTAAACTGGAAGAACTCAGCTGGATTCTCTGGGATGGTTCATACGATTTCCTAGGAGGTGAACCCGGCCGGACTTTTGGGTCTCTAACAACTGATCCTAAGTAGCCACCTCAGAGAGGGCTCTTTGGATGCTTAGAAGGTTATGTCCCACCCTCCAATTGCCAAAGAATCAGTACAATATTAATGTTCTGCAATGGACATTACCAAAACTACTCTCAGCCCTCCAAGTCATGAAGTGCTCTCTCTCTCTCTCTCTCTCTCTCTCTCTCTCTCTCTCTCTGCACAATTTATCTTCACATACAACCTCATTTGGGAACTTAGGAAGAATGATGGAAGAGAACTGTCACTCTAGCTGGAAGGGAGAGAACCTTTTTGTCCTCTCTGTCTTATAACAAACTGTATTTATGCTGGAGGCATCAAAAGACAAAATCAAAAGACACATGGACCTCAGATTCTACCCCTGGTTCAAAGATCTCTGATTGTGAACTGAGCTGTTGCAGATAAAGCTGGCAGGCTTGTAGGCTAGAAGTGTGAATATGTTTTATAAAGAGAAAGAAGCCTTTCTTATATCCTCTCTCCCCGCAAATAAGCTCCCAAACGAAAGCCTGATGTTTACCTTCAGCGAGTGGGTCCAGGGTGTGAATCATGAGCTGGAAGATGCTGTTCCTCATGAGACTGTTGTGGAGGGAGGCGGAGCTTCCACCTCGTTGGAGACGTGGCTTAGACTGGGTGGAGAAAGCAGACAAAGACGCTATTAGTGCTCAGAAGCTGGAGGCAAGTGCATTATAGATTAGAGCTCCACCTTATCCGGTGGTCACTCATTTCTGTTACATGATCACACACTATTGAACCAAAGATTTCAAAGTACATTTGAAAGTCCCCAAAGGAATGACTTTCTCACATCCTTTCCTGCTAAATGAATTAATTGCTATCATTGTTTTTAGAGCTTAGGAGATGCTGGTCAATGTGCTATATGCTTCACCTCCATTAGTTTATCTCATTCTCAGAATGAACCCAATGAACTAAACACTGTTATTATTCCCCTTAGACAAATGGGGAACCTTTGTCTCTGAGAAGTAAAATAAGATACCTTCACACAGACAAAAAATAGAGGCTAGAGGAATGGATCTCAGGTTTGCTTCTCTCAAAATTTGTTATCTGAACTAGTGGGTGATCTCTAAAATGTTTGGATTGTTCATCTTATCAGTAAAATTTTTTAGTATATATGTATGTATATATGTGTCCATTAATACCTATATCTGTATCTATATCTGTATCCATGCACATACTAAAATATGAGCATATTTATTACAAAACATTTGCAAAAGCAGAAATAATGAAGAATAATATGGAAAGTAAATGACAGAGGTGTTAATATTTTCTACTTGCTCCCCAAAAGAATACCTTGCACATTTCCTGGGGTTCCTTGTCTCTGCCCTAGACCACCGTTCTAATTCATGAAGCCCTATGGTTTGTGTTAAGTGACATTTAAAGAGAGAGAACCACTTATTATGAATTCACAGAGAAGCTTACTGACTTCAAAGGGAAACTTCTTTTGCATAGAGACTCCCACTAGTGTGATCCTTTGGCCACATAAATAAAACTGGTAGGTGAGAGAGGAAGAAGGGACCCTCTAGAGGTGAGGTTACCAACGAACCCTGTTTCTCTTATCTTCAAAAGCAAACAATCTAAAACAAAAGCAAAAACAAAAAACCCCAAGCCCTCTGGATTGTGCCAGATCTTTACCCTGAATAAGAACTGTTTTCTCCCCCTTTGGTTGATGCTTTTTGTTGGCTATCAAAGTGGAAGACACTCCAGAGCCCAAGCTTCACAGTCAGGCAGATTTAAGAGAGAGGAACATACTGTAAGGAGATTTAATTTCTTATTGAGCTTTTGGTCCAAAATCTTGACGTGAGATTTTAGGGTCAGGTAAAAATAAAATACTGCGTCTATTTCTCATTGTCTTCCAACCCTCTACAATGCAGGGTTTTCCAAAACATTCCATCATACTCCAGACCCACAAGGGACTTCCAAAGAAAAGTTCCATATGAGGCTCCATGATCAAATACATTCGGAAAGTGCTACATCCTAGACCAAACAATCTTCAGAGTTTTAAGTACACATTAGGCCACTAAGTTTAAAGGAAATCAGGTTAATTTGGTTAAACTGGACAATGTTTCAGAACCATTACCACAGGTCTCTTACTCTGAAGAATACTTATTAACAATCATAGTCTGTATGTTTGAAGACAAACATGAAACCTATAGTAAGCTTGAAGTATGGGTAAAATGTCAGTACGAGGTACATGGAGACATCTGTGTGATTTTATTATAATTGATATTCTATTAGAAATCATGTCCCTAACTACAGGGTTTGGAGAAGAATCAGAGGGGATTACTGGTGTCTCAATGGTGAGAAAGATCATGAACTCTTCAAAGTAAGAGACCTGGTCTGTACCCCTTGCCCAGTACCAGACCCGGCATATCCTATGGGCTTTCAGTAAATGGCATAAATCTTTGCTTGGAGCACTCAAAAAGGAAGGATGGGGTCAAATGTATTTTTATTCCTAGTCCTTTCTGCCTTAAAATTCTGTAACATTTTTAATGCACTGTGTTATTTGATTCCTATGGTTAAGGTTCAAAATATTTTAGGGGCAAGGTTACAAGACTTGAATAGAGTTGAAATGTAATCACTGACGGCTGAGCACAAAAACTCTGAAGGTCATTTCCCTGTCATGTGGCACAATACAAAATGCGATGTGTTAATTGGATAGGAACTGAAAAAAATGTGCTTGTTGTTAATAATTGGTCACAACCACTATAACTAAGGTTCTTAATTTGAGAAACTGGAAGAACTCTGCTGTGAAGATTTCATTAGCAAAGGGTTATATTATAGAAGAACTTAAAGCATTCTTTTGGGTATTATGTATATATTGAATATATAGATCTCATGCAGCATTTCTTTTGATGCAACCAAAAGAAATTTCCGATCAAAAATTAGGTGCATGCGGATACACAAAGAAAACAGGTATCAAGCATGAAAGTCCCCCACTGTCCCCAAACATCAGCTCAACATCCCTTGGAATGCAATTTGAGAATATCTTACTCTTTCAACTCCCATCAAAGTTCATGCCAAATGAAAGAGGGAACTCAAACTTTTGATACCTAGTCCCAGAGGTACATTTGTCAGTGACTGTCAGAATTCAGTTGACAGTAACTGTGGGCCAGAGCATACACCCACACCCACAGATTAACCCATTTAAATACTCCAAGGGAGAGGACAATCTGTTGAGCACATGAGCCCCTCCTTCTCCCAGCCCTGCCCCTGCACTGTCCGCAGGCACATGAACAGGTACAGACAGGGCCACTGCTTCCTACCGGTAGAGCCTGTTCATCCTTGTCCCTGGCTGTAGACGGCTGCGGAAGAGGAAAAGGCAAAAACAAAAGACAAAGAAATAAATAAATGATGCATCATACATAGGTTCTACATTTAATAATAAGCATCAGTACAGGGAAATAGTTGGTTCTTTCTGATCCTGGGAAGGATCATGCCAACACAGGGGGCCAAGAGTATATATCTCTAGGTAATATATAATGGTTTGTTTAGGTACATGGTACATTTTCTTGAAAGGTCAAAGTCGAATGGGCAACCGGATACCTAACAACAGAGGGCAGTAAATCAATTATGGCCCAGCCATGCTGTGGAATACCACGTAGTCATTAAAATGAGTGAGGTGTATATACATGTATTGACATGGAAAAATATCGAAGATATATTGTTATGTAACAAATTTTAAACCTTATTTATTACCTCATTTTATAAAAGAAAATAAATTAATAATACTTTAATATATGTGAAGAAAAAAAATTCTCCAAGAATTACACCAAACTGCTATTAGTGGTTATTTTTGGGAATGGTATTACAAGGACGTGTTGTTTGTCATGTCTTTTGGAGGGTATCTACATTTACTGCCCAACATGTGAATAAAAACAAAGCTTGGAAAAGTAAGCCACTGAATTAAAGACTAGGATCACCACACATGGAACTCAGATAATCTACTTTTTCTCCTGCCCCCACATGTCTAGGTTTTCATTCTAATAATGAAAATATTTGTCAAGTTGAGAAATGTTGACTAAAACACAAGGGCATGTGATGGTCTGGTCATCTGTTGGGAGACCCACATCTCAGATAATGTGACAATGGAGCTCTACCAACAGGCCCCAACTGGACAGCTTTGCTTTTCCAATTTAACATGAACACTTCTTGTTCAAAAGAACCAGGGTACCTCCGATGGTCTTTTCAATGATGTACAGGTAGGTACCTTGTGAATTTTCTCATGCTCAGACCACTGCCTTGGTCACTTCACCTCAACTATTGATGCATACAGCAAAAAAACAAAAAAACAAAAAACCCAAAATAAACAAAACAAAACTGAAAGCTTTTCCCTTGTCTTGCCTTCTGGTCTTGTCCATTACAATCTTTGCTTATCTACGTCTTCAGGAACAATCACACACTCGGACTAGACAGCTGCAGTGCTATTTTAAAACCCTTAGTGACCCCATGCTCTCTTTTTTAGTCCTACCACACATCATAGAAAGAACATTAAAATGCCCCCACATCCACTTAAAATATACACTTTTTGTGTAAAGAAATGAAAAGAATTATTATTATTTTGCATTTCAAATTATTGGCTACATGCAATTCATTTAATGTATGATTGGCATGCTTGAAAACTTGGAAAGAGAGAAAATCGAATCCACAACTTGTTTTCACATGTAATTTTTAAGAAGACTAAATGTTATACTTAATGATATTGATACTAAATATTTTGTAGACATTCAATAAAAAATTTAATAATCTTCTAGATACCTTTTGGGAGTTTGGAGTCAATATCAATGCATATTTTTTTCTTCTGGTTCCAAACATTTTTGTAGACTATTGAAGATTTTGTTCCTCTCAGTGACATATAGAATGATATGGGTTGGTGGTAATTTCTGAGCACAGCCCATGGGTATTACTAAATTTGCCATAAGCCCCTGATTTGCTGTTGTCTCTCAGCGACTTCTCTAAAAACACTAATAATAATTTTAAAAATCCTGGATTCCATAGTTCCCAGGCACACACACGCTTGGGGAACTGGAGTGGACCTGAAATTGTCCTTTGATTTCCCTTTTTGCTCTGAAAAGCACTGCATGATCTCACTTCTCTCTGGCAGGTCCTTTCATTTTCTCTTCTTCCATATCAGACAGCTCAACAAATGGCCCCACATTAGACAGAACAATGCCACAGGGAAATTATCCAGTGCAGCAAGCTCAGCCTTTGGACATACATTGAGATTAACTGTCAGAGCACGCCTTTTCAGTTAGCAAATTTACACCTTGTGGCGAAATGGGAGACAAATAATTATGAGCTGGGGTTGATGTCACAGCAATACCATCAAGAAACAGGATGAGACAGGAAAGAAAAGGGTGGTCTTTATAAGAGCAAAAATATCACCAGTTGAGATTTTGGTTTAAAAAAACATATATTTAAAGAAAGTATTTGAGGAAAGAAAAAAAATATCTAAGGCTGTCCTTTAGTCTGAAAGGAAGAAGAAATATCTACCCAATTGACTTCTTTTTTCTCTCACAAACAAGGAGGATGATAAGACACAATAAATGAGAAGAAATGCCTTGTACATAAATTTTACAAAGCAAAATATGAGTGCAGAGAAAGGTCTGAAATTCTTCACAAAATCTCCCACTGTTTAATGTCAGCACAAGTTGACATTGTTAGTTTTCTTTCAAGTGTAATTCGTGGACATGAATATACATCAGGCTACAACATGTAAATTCAGGTATACACACAACTGGCAGCTGAGGCCATTAACTCTCCAGCCCCCCACTTTCCTTTTAGGTAGTCCTGTTGCAAAAAAAATTAGAAATGTGACATGATAGCAGTTGCTCATTTTCAGGGGCTTACCTACTGATAATTCCTGGCACCCATGTGACTTAGTCTCACTGTAAATGCATCTTGAAGCAAACTCTCCATCCTGGCAATGAGTTGCTGATTATGTTAGGAATTCAATTGTAAAGGGAGGAGTTTTAATTACATTGGAAGTAACTGGTGAAGGTGACAAAGAAATGATCCAAATGTGGATAGCCCATAGTGTTTCCAACCACTGGATTATTTAGTTAACTAACTGGGTTTTGGAGTGGTGTCCATGTAGAGAATTTATTTTCAGGGCCATTGAACATCTGGCATGTTTATTCTAACCCATTGGATGTTACAGGAGATAACTTCTTCAAAAAAAGGCTAACGTGGCTTTAAGGATTAACCTTAGCATTCTTATTATGCATTTTACTTTTTAATCCCCTGAATTTTAAACACATCAAAATATCACACATTTGGGCTGTACTGGTTTGAAAGCCCAATTCCTGATGGTCAGTTAGTTCAAAGGCTGTGCCAACTATGAGAAAGATCTGCTAAGCCAAATCCCTAGCATACACAGCAATTCTTGAGGAATGTTTAAAAGAATTCATAAAATGAATTCTGGTGTGCCATCACATACCCTGCTCTTCACTCATGAAAGCAGGACATCCACTGGGCCAGGATGAAAGAAATACATCTTTTGCTTACAAGGAAGTATTCTCTAATTCAGTCTCTTAATTTAAATTGGCCCCCTCCCTAATTACTGCAAGTAATTGCCTGAGTAACTGAGCAACTGGGATGTTGCCATTAATGTCTGTTGTTCACCCTGGTGGAACCCCCATTCTATATGGGAATTTTGCTGCCTATTTGATAGGTGTTTGTCAGCGCCTCATCCCCCAGCTCCACATAATAAAACATATAGCTCATTTAGAAAGCATTGTTAACATTACAAATCATTCAAAAATCCTTAGATCATCTCTCTTCTTTGACCCTTGAAAGCCACTGGTTTGAACAATGATTTCCCTGACTACTAAGTGTAGTGTTTATGTGACTTTGTACAGCCCTCATCCAGCGTCCAGCTCCCCGCCGCTTCCACCTCGCACATGCAAACACTGAGCAATTACTGTACAGAGCCCCTGCTTTACTCTCACTGATAACTGCCCACCTGGAAATCACATAATCAAATGTGTCCCATATACGCCAAAAGACACGTGTGTAAACTAAGAGGTGGCTCTTCTGGCCAGGGGCTTGGCAACAGATAGAGAAAGAGACCCAATTTGTCACTACAGTCAAGTAACAACCATAAACATCCACAAACCTACCCTTTTAGGAAGTCCTATTAAATGTGCCTAAATTCACTGTGCCAAGGACCCAGAAGCACTATAAAGTCTATAAAGAACAAATTTAAAAGTGTAATTATTTTGTCGTAAGGTGGCCCAAAACATATGAACATATGCTAGCAATTAGAAATATTAATCCAATATTTAATTGACAATTTTTTCTTTCTTTGAGGAGTTCATCCTTGCCTTTTGACATTAATTTTAATGTCTTAGAATTTAGAAAGGTTGGGTGAGGGACAATCTGAATGACTGATTTCCATTTTAAAGATTAACAAGGAAGTATGAAATGACGTCTCCTTTTTCTTTAATACATTTACCTGTAACAAGCAAAAACATTTCTGTTTATTCATCTTTAACTCTCCTGGTTAAAGATGAATATGCTTCAAAGCTTATGAGAAGGCTAGATAAAAGGTACAAAAGCCTTAAATCTGAAATCTAAAAGGAAAGAAATCCTACTACCTCTTTTTTTTTTTTAAGTAGTATTTATTGGCTTTTTTTTTTTTAAGATTTTTATCAGGGAATTGGGGGGATGGGAACAGTGCTGGGGAATTGGGGGGAGGGGAACAGACAAGTTGCTGTCCTTTTGTTCTTCAGTCTAGTTGTGGAGGACGTTGCTTCACTGGCCCAAGTTGGCANCAAGTTGCTGTCCTTTTGTTCTTCAGTCTAGTTGTGGAGGACGTTGCTTCACTGGCCCAAGTTGGCACCATCATTGCGCTCCTCCTGGGCGAGGCAGACCAGTCGCCGGCTTCTGGACTGCTGCTCACGCTGGCTGCCAGCTACATAAGGTAGCCCATGGCAACCCACTGCCACAGGAGCTGCAGCCTACGCCGTCGCTGGCGACTCATGGCAGCCCAGCTCCAGGTTGAGCTGTTGTTCAGCATCTTAGCTGTGGAGGGCAGTGTCACTGGCTCTCATATGTGGGATCTGAACCGGGACCCTCTGGCGTCCCAAGCTAGTTCTTAACCATCGCACCACTCAGCCGGCCCCCTACTACCTCTTAATCAGATGCAAAATCAGCTTCCTCTCCCTCCCTTTTCTGTGTCCTAACATATTCCCTAAAATATGAAGGGAGGAGGGTAGAGATTAAATAAATTCCTAAAGAAAGAAATACTAAGAGATTTAAATTCAAATGAATTTTACTATTGGTTGCTGGGTAATTAGCC